AAAAAAAAAAAAAAAAATTACGTGACTTGAATTTTTTTGTTGTTTTGGCCAGGCTATATTTGATTTGTGGTGGTCTAGAACCAAATCTGCAACGTCTCTGAGGCATGCCTGTCCCTACCCAATAGAATGTTTACCTCATCACTTTATCAGTAGACTGTGAGATGAATTCTTGAGCAGTGTTAGATTCTCAATGAGAGGGGATTGGTGGTAGGTAGTTACTGCCTTTGTTTCTTTTCACACATAACTTTGACTAATTTCTTCTTTTTTTTATTATTGTCTTTAGGTCATATAATCAATGGATAAAGTGGGGAAAATGTGGAATAACTTCAAATACAGATGTCAGAATCTCTTCAGTCATGAGGGAGGAAGCCGAATTGAAAATGTGGACATGAACTCCAACAGATGTTTGTCTGTCAAAGAGAAAAATATCAGTCTAGGAGACTCCGCTCCTCAGCAGCAAAGCAGTCCTTTAAGAGAAAATGTTGCCTTACAAGTGGGACTAAGCCCTTCAAAGAATCCTTCCAGAAGAAACCAAAATTGTGCCGCTGAAATCCCTCAGATTGTTGAAATAAGTATTGAAAAGGATAATGATTCATGTGTCACTACCCCAGGAACAAGACTTGCACGAAGAGACTCCTATTCTCGACATGCGCCATGGGGTGGGAAGAAAAATCATTCCTGTTCTACAAAGACACAGAGTTCACTGGATGGTGATAAAAAGTTTGGTAGAACTCGCAGTGGACTTCAGAGGAGAGAGAGACGGTATGGCGTGAGCTCTGTCCATGATATGGACTGTGTTTCCAGCAGGACTGTAGGGAGTCGCTCTCTGAGGCAAAGATTGCAGGATACTGTTGGACTGTGTTTCCCCGTGAGAACTTACAGCAAGCAGTCAAAACCCCTCTTTTCAAATAAAAGAAAAATACATCTTTCTGAATTAATGCTTGAGAAATGCCCTTTTCCTGCTGGCTCAGATTTAGCCCAAAAATGGCATTTGATTAAACAGCATACAGCTCCTGTAAGCCCACATTCAACGTTTTTTGATACATTTGATCCATCTTTGGTTTCCACAGAAGATGAAGAAGATAGGCTTAGAGAGAGAAGGCGGCTTAGTATTGAAGAAGGGGTTGATCCCCCTCCCAACGCACAAATACATACATTCGAAGCTACCGCACAGGTTAATCCGTTATATAAACTAGGACCAAAGTTAGCTCCTGGAATGACTGAAATAAGTGGAGACAGTTCTGCAATTCCACAAGCTAATTGTGACTCAGAAGAGGACACAACCACACTGTGTTTGCAGTCACGTAGGCAAAAGCAACGCCAGGGATCTGGGGACTGCCATGCCCATGTTAGCAGACAGGGAGCTTGGAGAGTACATACTCAGATTGATTACATACACTGCCTTGTGCCCGATTTGCTTCAGATTACAGGTAATCCCTGTTACTGGGGAGTGATGGACCGTTATGAAGCAGAAGCCCTTCTTGAAGGGAAACCAGAAGGCACGTTTTTGCTCAGGGACTCTGCACAAGAGGACTACCTCTTCTCTGTGAGCTTCCGTCGCTACAACAGATCCCTGCATGCCCGAATTGAACAGTGGAATCACAACTTCAGTTTTGATGCCCATGACCCGTGTGTGTTTCACTCTTCCACTGTGACAGGACTTTTGGAACATTATAAAGATCCCAGTTCTTGCATGTTTTTTGAACCATTGCTTACTATCTCACTCAATAGGACTTTTCCTTTTAGCCTGCAATACATCTGCCGTGCAGTTATCTGCAGGTGCACTACATACGATGGGATTGATGGGCTCCCTTTGCCATCCATGTTACAAGATTTTTTAAAAGAGTATCATTATAAACAAAAAGTTAGAGTTCGCTGGTTAGAACGAGAACCAGTCAAGGCGAAATAAGACTCCTCTCCTAGATCTGCTTCTATGTGCACCAGGCAGTACACCTAGAGCAAGCCCACTTATCAGTGTTAGGTTCTTTCAGTACAGTGTGTAAGCTTAATGTTAGTATCTGTCAGACGCAATCTGTGGTTACTCAGATAAACGTGGTGCCTATTGAAACAACAGAGAGAGAGAACTACAGGTATTTATTTAATAAGGCCTACAAAAATGCTTTACCTATTTAGCTAAAGGTTTGGTTTTTAATGGCTGTCATAATTGAGTGGGACATTTGCTATGAAGAATTCTATTTCTTACTGAAGAACAAATTATTAATATTGGATGGTATTTCAACAGTGTGACTAATGTTTGAAATTATTTTTTCTAAGAATTTTTTATAACCTTCCAAAAGTAGTGATGTTTGTAGTTATTGTATATCAAGCTTCGGAAGTCCAAAAAATGAAGACTGCCTTCCTTTTAGGGGAGAAAGAAAAAAAAAGG